TAACAAAGGTACTGCACATTCCAAAAGGAGTTCCCAGAACTCAGGCCTAATTTAAACTGGCATCAATATCAAAGAAATCATCACAGTGAAAATATACTCAGGATTCCAGCTCCTGGTTAAAAATCTGAGTGATTTTTCAAGTCTGATCACAGGCAATTACAAAAGTTTTACCTGGCAGGTCTTACAGGGGAAAGCTGCCTTCCACACAACAGATACGGTGCACAGCCAATGCACTGCAGTTTCTGAAGGGAGTTTCACTCAAGTACTCAGGCCCCTCTGGCTGGTCATGATGTTCATATGTTTGTATTCCTAGCCCAGGTGACTTCTTTGCTAAGTCTCTTTACCTGAGGCCTTGGGCAGAGCTCTTCAGGCACTTCTGCTAAGGCCCCCTTAAGGGGAGAAGAAAATGAGGGGAAAACCTTGAACATACTTTTCCGCACTCTTTCTTGGTACCCAGTACTTTTCCACTCCTAGTTTTCTCTCCTTGTATCCCCATGGCCCCAGAGTGATAAAACCACCAAAGCTTTTTGTTTGAGTCTCTGTTATGGGTGAAATTGTGCCCCTCCCAAACTCAAATGTTTAAGTTCTAACCCCCAGTACCTCAGAATGTGCTGTACTCATAGAGAAGTTCTTTAAAGAGGTAATTGAGATGAAATTAAGTCATATGAGTGGGCCCTGATTCAATCTGATTGATGTCATAAGAAGAAGAGATTTGGGCACAGAAACTCACTGAAGGAAGACCATGGGAAGATGGTGTGGGGCAGGGGGAAGATGGCTATCTGCATGCCCAGGAGACAGGCCTTAGAAAAAACCAACCCTGCTGACACATTAATCTCAGACGTCTAGGCTCTAGCATAGTGATATAAAAGATTTTTGTTGTTTATGACACCAGTCTATGGTACTTTGTTATGGCTGCTATGTTCATTTGCTAGGGCTGCCATAACAAAATGCCACAGACTGGGTGGCTTAAACAACAGAATTTTATTTTATCATAGTTCTGGAGGCTGGAATTCCAAGATCAAGATGTTGGTGGGATTGATTCTTTCTGAGGACCCTTTCCCTTGGCTTATAGATGGCTGTCTGTTCCCTGTATTTTCACATGCTCTTCTGTGTGTCTGTGTTCTAATCTCTTATAAAGACACCAGTCCCATTGGATTAGGATCCACCGTAGTGGTCTCATTTTAACTTAATCACTTCTTTAAAGGCCCTATCTCCAAACATAGTCACATTCTGAGGTAATGGAAGTTAGAATTTCAATTAATGAATTTTGGGTGGACACAATTCAGTTCATAACAGCAGCCTTATAAAAACTAATACAGGCTCCCTCAACAGTAAGATGACTCCTCCCCCGACCTGTGCTGATCCACTTGACCTTCTACCAGCATGCTGTTCCTTAGGGAAAACTGGAACACAGGCTATGCTTTCTCCAATTTTAGCCTGTTGCTTGTACAATTGCAGTAAATGACTAAAGTCTTGCTTATTACTTTCATTTTTGGCTTGTTGCTTTAACTGACTATTCTGACACCTGACATCTCAGCTCATTCTCCAGTTCAGCCGAGCTCTTGACATATATATCCTGGTTGAAAAAGATCCCAGATAGGACTGAAAGTATAAAAACAATGCCCAAATGTTCAGCTCCATACTAAAAGGGCCTGGTAGAGCTAACAAGATGTTCAGAACACAGTCATGGAAGGGTGGACTCAATGGAGAAACAGAACCAACCAAAAAAAGCCATAATCCCAACAACTGGCAATGGCTACATTAACTAGTAATTTGGAGGGGCGGGGACCAGAGTAAATCAGTGTGCAGGATATATTTCTAGAAGACACTCAGGACAGAGAGATTAACTCCAGAACCTATCTTCTTGTAGAGCCTTGTCATATATTATCACATTTCTCAGAGGTGTGGTGAAGAATAGCATGCCTTTGGGAAGGAAATGTCTGACACTGACATTTATTAAGAAAATAATCTATCTCAAATTAATCCAGTTTATTTTCATGAGATGGTAACTAGTGTTTTAAGTTATAGGAATTCCATGAATATTGCATTTCTGTATTTAAACAATGATTAGAACTAGGTATGTCATCATAAAATTTTGGGAAGGATGGCAAAGTGATAAAAAAATTGGAAGTTTTGTAGAGTTGCAAGTAGTTGAACATCCATAGTCAAGAAGATCTGATTAAGGAGTCATTATCAAGCTAGAGATATTTTTAGGTAATTTTGTTGTGAGCCTTGTCCTATTAAATATTTTTATTAGTGACATGGATAAGGACATTAATAATTTTTGATCAATTTTGTGGAAAACATGAAAAAGAGAGGAAGAGCTGACATGTTAAATGGCAAAAATGACAATCAATAAAGATGTGACAGTGGCTAAATCTAACAAGGTAAAATTTAACAGAAATAAATGTAAAGTTATGTATTTGAGTCTAAAACCTACACAAATTGAAAGAGATATGGCTTATTTTGTTTATGTGACCAAAAGAATTCTCCAGCTTATTGCCTCAAAGAAATAAATTTAAAAAGATATGATCGATGTTTCCATATTAAAATAAAAAATAATTATGTATGAAAGATTCTATTTATTCTGTGTTACCTGTACAACAAAACTAAGACAAGTGAGTAGAATTTAAAGGGATAAAGAAGGGGCTAAATAAAAAGCAAAGTTTTCTAATAGCCCAGATTTTCAAAAATAGCATTTTTAAAGAAGTAATGAGTTCCCCTTCACTGGAATTGTTCAAGCTGAAGATTAATAATGAGGTATGATAAATTTAATAACCATATATCTGCATTAGTTTAGGAATGGCTTAATTCAATAAAGAATTAGATACACTCTAGGATTTGACTAATTCAAGAAACTTTCTGAAAACAATAACCTTTCTATATGTGACAAGACTTCTATTTTGAATAGAATGATTTTAAGGCAAGAGTAGCTAATGGCCCAAGCAATTAGGTGTAATAAAATCCCATTATGATAATTCACGTTTCTATGACTCAACTGAGCTGTAAAACAAATTTTCTGGCATAAATATTACATAAAAAACAGAGGTCATCTCACAAAAAAGTCATAAATAATAGCAACTTAGTCAACTGTAATGAGAAAGTCATATACATAATATTTTGTACTTCTCTCTCCTTTTTTTTTAAAGATTTGGGAAGTACTTTATTTGATCATGTGACACCATATAACAACCAGATTTACAGAAGCCTAACCACAGTATAGATTTGAATAGGGACGATGCCTCAGAAATAGCAGTCTTAGTGATTCAAGTACTGACCTTTATTTGATAAAGGAAAACAGTTTTGATGACTAATTTACCAGAGTTTTAAAATGCAATTTTATACAGTTGTTTTCTTAAAAGAACTACTGTTTTGAACCACAATAAACAAGGTACAGTTTATTCACATAAAGAAACTGCCATTGAAAACATGTTTAAAAATTCCCATCTCACTCCATTTTTCCCTTCTCAGCACTGCAATGCTTCATTCCATCATCATGCTGAATTCCTCAGCATCTTCCATACCATTTCCAAGGGAATCCCTGGGAAGTAGCAAATGTCTGCCTTCCTTTAGAAAGACACAGATAACCTGGAATTTTTCTTACCACATTCTCCAATGTTCCTACAACTTGCACTTTCTGCTCTTCTGAAATAAGCTTCTTTTTGGCACAGCAGAAAAAACATGCCACGAGGAATCTGAAAACCTAGATTCTGGGCCCAGCTATGTCATAAGAGAATAATCCTAAACAAGTCATGAAACCTCCCCAGCCCTCTGTTCTTAACTGCAAAAAATAAGTCATATTCTTTCAGTCCTTTATTATTTATCCTCACAGTAACCGTTAGATTTAAATAAGGCAGCATTATACTCATTTCATAGAGGAAATTCAGTCTCAAAGAGGTTACACAATCTACTCAAGATCCCACAGGTGGTAATAAGACAACATACACATCTTTTAGTAACGACAGCAAGATCCCATAGGTGGTAATAAGACACAGCTAAACTTAGATGATCTCACTCAAGACCCTAGTACTGGTACACACTGTACTCATAAGTTGGTTCAATGGATGAAGCAGCAGTTTCCCAGGTCCCTTCCAATATTCAAATTTTAAACTTCTTGCAATTTTTTCCTCTCTTTCAACCAGCATTTAAATTAGAAAACATATATATAATTCATCACTAAATTTCACCTACCATGGTTCTGTGATTTAACCCTTCTTTACAATTTTCTTTTATTTCTATATTAAATTCAGAGAAGTGACTTTTTTTCTGATAGCTCTCACAACTGCCGGCCTCTCAAAGCTTTTGGATCTACCTGTTGTCAAAACAGAGATTGCTAAAATTTTGTAAATACCAATTCCTTTTTATAATTTTAAGAAGTTATTCCATACTTAAATAAAACGGTTCAAAACAAGAGAAGTCCTCGCTCTTATTCCCTGTAATAATAAAATGTACTTTCTATTGATTTTGTATCCACTTTCCTGTCTGCTTTCTTTTGGGAAATACTGTTATCCTACCTCGCTGTCAAGTCTCCCTCTCCCTAACAAGAAAATATCGCAGTCCTAAGAGTTAGGAAAACTCTTACTTTCACAATTCCATAGGAAGAATAAATTAACCACCTAAATTGGATGGTGAAACTTTGAATGTTAAATGAGAGATTCGGGACATTTCCCAAGAGGCCATATGACCAGTCTAAAAGCTGATGATATGATTTGCCTAAAATTACACTTTAAGTTTTTTATCATAAATTTATATATGTGCTGATTAGTCTTGCTGATATTACCTATGACCATATACCTAAACCAAATTAAACTTCACAAGAAACAAAATTCATTCTATCAGCAATCCTGAAAATTCAGCAAAGCCCAATAAATCGTATGCTCTCTCTAGAAGGGAGCTTTAAACATTCAGTGATTTGTATAATTTAACATGCTGAAAATGAGAAACTAAACAGGGCATGGGAACGGGGACTACATACAGGAAAAGTAATTTCAAAATTTTCTTCATTTTGATGGTATCGCTTTCTTGTCTTCAGGAGGGAAGATTCTGACTTCAAAAGTAACAAAATATTTGAGAAGGGATTTTACATCTTTCTGTTCTAGATAGTATTCTTCTGCTATTTTCTCAGCAGTCCATGTTTCTGGATAAAGTTTATGATTATTGAGAAGTGTCAATGCCTCTACAATGGAAATTTTGCCTTTGGGAATGTTCTTGATACTCATCATGTTAAAGTCACGGCCTTTTGCCAATCTGAACTCCTTTGGCTCTTGACGTGTTCCACCATCTTTTACCT